CACGGGTTAGGAACATATATCCGAAGTTTCAGCCCCCCAGCTTTCCTGGTTGCCGAGTTGAAAGTGAGTGTGACAAAATGCACTCGCTTTGCACACACACACACACACACACATACACACACACACACACGCAGACAGCCTCTCGACAATATGCGTTTTTGCTGGCTGTAGCAGCTATAGCGCTGCTATAGCGCTGCACAGCAAAAACGCATAAAAATGACGAAAAGCACAAGAAAGGCAATACAGTTATGTAATGATAATAGGAGATAGGAGATCAGTCTGGGTATCATGTTCAAAAAAAATTTCCAGAGGCAGTCCTGTGATTTATCCCTTAGCTGTAAACACACAGATTGTATTTTAGCGCTAAACCCGAACACTGACTGAGTGCGACCAAAAATGCAGCTTCATTAACCTCGTCACGGTAGTTTTTAATCTATTTGTCGGATGGTAATATGCATTTAGACACAGGCAAAGCCTGAAGTATCTTTCTGTATGCTACGACTATTGTCAGCATAATACTAACTCGTGGGACAAAATCCGTTCATTCCGTTCATCATAACAGCAGTTACTCCAAAGTTCTGGCCAATATTTTCCACTCAGCCCTGCTACTTCATATAAGTTTATACATACACCAAACAGTTTATACCAGTACCAGACAACATTTAGTTTACTTATTACCTAAAGCTTTAGGTAATAGCTATTTAGGTATTTATTCGTATTTAGGCATATATTTATGTATTTGTCAAATTAGGCGTAGCAGTTATTTATAATAGCTAATTAAGTAAAATAATAGCCATTTGCATCCAAAGCACTTAGTTTATACAAGAAAATATATATGAGGAAGTATACATTATGCAAAGGCTCGCAGCAAAAAACAGATAGCTGCCCTTAGCAACTGTAGCTGAAGAAGCCAAGGAAAAAACGCACTGATCGGTCCGTGAATGTGTCGTAGTTGCAGAGAGTTTGACAAGATGGTGAAAGACCTCGTTTCTGACAACAAGTAGCAAGTTTCTCGTTCGGTGACAGTTGCGCCTTCTTTGGTACTTCTGCATATACCGGTTTCGAAACTGGCTCAACATCTAAAAGAGAAATTTTTTTCAAAGAATCGTCTAGCAACTGAAGAAAGCAGAAAAGATACATGTGGTTGGTGGGCACTAGCCTGAATTGTAGCTCTAATAGTGTGACTCTTAAATTAATTGCGTGCCCGCGAAACTTAAGTGACCTTTTTGTCTAGACACTGCGAGGAAGCGGAATGAAGGCTGCGGAAAAAGTGGAAATTTTTAATCTTCGATGAGGCACCGGACCTTTTCAGCTGACCCCTAGCTCCAGAGTGCTATATTTATCAGCGAGAAAACTTTTATACCTAAATTAGACTCCGATTCATAAGCTGAAACTGATTGTGGCTGTGGCACAACAAGACCCGGAAATAGTGAGTGCCATACCTGTAAAAAAAATGAAATCAATTCATGATTTCGGAATAATTAAATTTAATTTGACAATTTTAAATGTCTTTATATGCGGTACAGTCCAGCGCTCCAGCCTGCCCAAAATCCTGACTCTAGTAACGCGCAGTTGCTTCTGATGTGCTGGCAGACTAGGCAAAGCCTTTAATAAAAATCACTGGATGGTAATTTTTCAAGCCAACTTACGTAATTTTACTCGGATTTGGTTTGCTTGAAAGCAGAAAGCCATATCTGAACATAAGTTCACAGGAAAGTGTTTGACGCATATGCATATCATGCGGTTAGTTAGAATTTAGCCAGCGAGATCCTCACAGCAGTTTTCCAGAAGCTTCAACCATTACATGTATTTTTTTTTGGCGAGATTTTAATCACTATAGTCATTCTAGAATTTAACTGATAAAGAGTAAAAAAATGAAGAACCGGATTATTAAACAGTCCCAGTGGATCCAGAGGATTGTAATAACGCGTTGGTTGAGGTGCTGCTGCTACAGGAGTATATTGCTGCACAGGTGGAGATAGAAGAGGAGTAGGGCGAGGAGGAGGGAGGGCGAGCGGAGCTGGAGCCCTGTACGCAATTTGGTTCAGATACGGATATACTTGTTGTTGTGGTTGATAAGGCGACAAATGCCTAAAAGATTGTGATAATATCAAAATAAAAACAAAAATAAAATGTGCGATTATTGGAACAAAGGTAGGCATGCGTCCTTATTTTGATGTTCGCTCAGGAGTTTATACCAGCGACAGACGTTATAACACAGCATGTTTCTAAATTAATAGTTTAATTAAACTAATAAAAGAAATAAAAATACCTGTGAATTACTTGTTTATCTCAAAAAAGTTACTTTTTTACCTTAAATTACTTATGTGTCTTATTTACTTTCTTGAGAAAAAGAAAACTAAAACAACCAAATTAATAATAGAAAAATAGTAATTAATTATTTATCAGTGTTGCACTTAAATCATCAAGTTTTTTTAATTGCTCGGATGTAACTATTAAAACTCATTTCACTCAAAAGTATGCGTTAGTCAAATCACTTGAAATTTTAAAAAATCTCTGCAATATAAGCAGCTTCTACTAGAAACTGATCTGGTCAATCGGGAAATGGCGCTGGCTTCTCTAGCGCTGCTATGAAGCTCAAATTGAAAAAAAAGGGCTTATCAGTATGTCCAACGAAATCAAGAAAGGTAAATGATGATGACCTCGCTATCTACCGATGAAGGTGGATTTGCTTTGAAAAATAAAACGTAGATAAAAATTCGTGATTTAGAAATGGTACCACAACCTATCCGTGCTGCTATTTCGCTTTTGATTTAACTGTGGTAACATTTACCTGCCGTTCAGTAACAAAGTGAACTTACATGGATTGCAGCTGCACGCCGTTACCAGGTGGTACCAAGGTCATCTTACCCGTCTTATCCTGAAGTATATCAAGTATTTACAGCGAGAAGCTAATTCACTTTAAATTTTAGCTGCACAAGCCGAAAGTATTCTAAAAATGGGTCTAAGAGTGAAAATTAATAAATTAGCAGTTTTATAGATTTATCCAGTTACAAATTTCTGAACTGTACTGTGATCGTTGCGGTGGTCATCGAAATCTTGGCAGCACTAGCCTTTCATCCTGGATGCCAGTAAGTCAGGCTTATTTATTTTGCTGACAGTGTATGAACTCACCTGATATCGCTAAGTGGTACTCAAAAAAGTGAAACATCTATTTCGTCAAGCTTCTGTAAGGTATCATGCGTACTTTTGAGGGAGATAGCTAATAACTGCAAAAAAAAAACTCAGCATTGAACTGCCAAATTGATGGCATCGGTCGTAACTTTTTTCTTATTTCCACTGGAAGTGGCTTCCGGGAATCAAATTTTTGAATTTAAACAGAAAAGTTGGCCTGCATAAAACGAAC